CTCCAGTCATGTTAGCTCAGGAATTCTGGGAGTTGACGTCCACAAGTCTTAAACTTGCCAAGTTTGAAGACCCTTGTCCTAGACTGAAGTTGCTGTTTGTATCTTCATGCTATTTGTACTTTTCCATTAATTCATTTTCAGTCACAGTTCATTTTTGTGAACCAAGTAAGGATAATCCAGCATCATAAATAAAAAGCAAAAGCAACTTGAAGAAACGTAAGAACTCGAGAAACATAAAGCATGAAAAATAGCTATGTAAACTTGTATTTAATCTATGTAAACTGGTATTTAATCTATGTAATCTAGACCATGGTCTGCATTACCTACATGAAGGGCTCCTGGCAAGGAAGGGATGGGCTGTCCCTCACAAGAACCAGAAAGAATGTATTCAGAAAATAAGTTGCTCCACCCGAATGCTGGAAATGCAAACATGCAAGGAACATATTGCCATGTGTGGTGGACATGCCCTGTAGTAAGGAAATATTGGATAAGGACAAGAAAATGGATAGAAGAAATAATTAAACAACAAATTGAAATAATACCGGAGACTTTTCTGTTAGGTATAATAACAGGAACATATGATAAGAAAACAGAATATTTTATAACAGCGGCAAAAATAACTTACACACAAAATTGGAAAAAAGATAGTATGCCACTAGAGGAAAATGTGATAAAAAAGATATTAGAGTGTGCCGAGATGGATAAGTTGACCATGGAGATAAAAAACAGAGAAGAAACAGATTATTATTTGACGTAGAATGCATTGTATGATTGGCTAAATAACAGATATAGAGATGAATAGAGAATATGACAATAGGATAACACGGTAAAGGTTATAGATGTAGTTATATAGGTTAAAGATAGATGAAGGAATATAGATAAATGTACAGCTAGTTAAGATTTATGAAAAAGTATGTATACTGTCATAGAAGTATTGCAGTGAATGAAAATGATGCTGTATATGAGAAAAACTGTTTAATTAAAATTATTAAAAAAGAAAATAAGTGGCTTAGCTTATTCAAAAAGCTTTAAACGAAAACTGAGGGGGGAGGGTGACCAATTTTTAGGATCTAATCCCAAATATAAACCCCAAGACAACCAATCAAACAAGGAGGTAGGCAGTGATGGGAAGGAAGAAAAACTCAGATATAAAGCAGGAGAAGTAGAAAGTATATCCAGGATCAGCCATAAAGGACTCAGATGCCGATACACTAACGCTCAAAGTTTAGGGACTTTCAAGTTCAGGGTGAACTTGAACTAGTAACATATGAAGGCAAGTATGATATGAGAAAAGTAAAGTCCTACACTTAGGCAAGAAAAACCAAAAGTACACATATAGACTGGGTGAAACCAGGCTCAATAGCAGGAACTGTGAGAGGGATCTTGGAGTCTTAGTGGACAACCAGCTAAATAGGAGCCAGCAGTGTGCAGCAGCAGCCAAAAAAGCCAATGCAATCCTAAATTGCATTAACAGGGATACAATCAAGATCAAGTGAGGTACTAATACCACTCTATAAAGCCTTAATAAGACCATACCTAAGAGTCCTGCATCCGGTTTTGTTCACCACATTATAAAAAAGATGTTGAGACTCTAGAAAAAGTACAGAGAAGAGCAACCAGGATGATTAGTGGACTGGAGACTAAAACATATTAAGAACGGTTACAGGAACTGGGCATGGCTAGTCTAGTAAAGAGAAGGACCAGGGGAGACATGATAGCGGTCTTCCAATTTGAGGGGCTACCACAGAGAGGAGGAAGGGGGTCAATCTATTTTCTAAATCACCCGAAGGCCAGACAAGGAATAATGGATGGAAACTGAACAAGGAGAGATTCAACCTGGAAATAAGGAGAAATTTTCTGGCAGTGAGAACAATCAACCAATGGAACAGGAGTTGCCTTTGGAAGTTGTGGGAGCGCCATCACTTGAGACTTTCAAGAAGAGATTGGACTGCCATTTGTCAGAAATGGTGTAGGGTCTCCTGCTTGGGCAGGGGGTTGGGCTAGATGACCTACAAGGTCTCTTCCAACTCTGGTTATCTGGTATCTGTTATATACTTGCCATTACTGAAATATTCATGACTGGAATGTACTGCTGGAAGTATATAAACTGTTCAAAAGAAACAGACCCTAACAAAAGAAAAGTTAGAATTGCATTATATGTAAAAAAAAAATCACCACACCTCTACAGAAATGCATAAAACCAAGGATGAAAGTCTTCTTGAATGCACATGGGCTAATATAAAGGGGGATAAAAAGAACGACATTGCCACAGGTCAGGGCTGTCAAACTCCCGGCCCACAGGCTGGATGTGTCATGTGCTGGCCACGCCCATGCCCGGTTTAGCGAACTGGAAAAAGTCCCGATGTGTCATGTGACGCTGCCATGACGAAGTGAGTTTGACAGCCCTGCCATAGGTATACACTGCAGGCCATCCAACCAAGCAGGAAAAAATAGATGGACTTTTTGCTCAACTTTTAATATACGTAGGAAACACACCACAGTAGTAATAGGGGACTTCAACTAACCTGACATTAACTGGGAAACAAATTTTGCATCAAGTGGGAGATCAAATAGGTTCCTGACCACGCTAAACGACAACAGGTAGAGAGATTGGAACTTAGAGGGTCAGCTGTACTGGATTTAATTCTTACTAACAAGAGATGAAATGATTGAGGGGGTAGAAGTTGCAGGAACTTTGGGGGCGAGTGAGACAAGCACAAGACTAAATAATTTTTGTAGATATTGAAAGTCCAATGCAATAATAACTGAAAGGCATGTTTTCAGATATTTAATTTAATTTATCAGATTTATTTGCTGCCCATCTCATGGTTCAAGGCAACTCTGGGCTGTTTACACCAAGGTAAAACACACAAATACCCAACAATTATAAATATAAAACTGATTTAAATTACAAAAATTAAAACAAACTAAAATACAAGGGTTCGAAAGGGGAGAGGTGGGGGTGCCTTCCCTGTTAGTGCTTAGCACAGTAGTATGTTGGTCTTAGTACAGATTTTTTTTTTTTACACATTTTTACATATTCATGTTTACAACTGAATTTTTTTAAATATTTGAACTTTTAAAATATCTGCTTGAATTTTGCTGTTAACTTGATGCTCTTGGTTTTGTTTGTGAACAAAGTTCTATAAACAAACTCATAATAAAGAGGTAGTGATTTATTTCATTCAACATTAGAATGCCTGCCTTTCTAACAGCCTCCCCGTTCTATTTCCTTGTTGCTTCCCCCCCGCTCACTATTCCCTAATTTAAATTTCTTCCCTTCTTGCCCCCTTTCCAAGTTTTACTCTTTAGAAGTCGAAAATTATATTCTATCTTTCTTTTTCAAAATGCCACGGCTAGCACTCATATACCAAGCGCGAGTGAAATCAAAATGCAGAAAAGCACCAAATGAAAAAAGGTATTGAGGAAAACAAGAAACATCCCCTAAGACTTGCAATGATTTGGTGCAGCAGGTTTCGTTTCAGGAGCTTAAGTCGTGCAAATATGAAAAGACTTCCTAAGTAAGGATGTTTAGGCATATCTTCTTCTTCTATATACATAAAAGCGAAATACCACTCACGCATCATCACAAAATCTCCAGAACCGTAAAGCCTACAAACTTGAAATTTGGTACGTATTGTTCCTCTTGGCTTCTAGGTGCTCACTAAGAAAGGATTTTTCAAAATGACCATCAGAGCATTAGTATTTCGTATATTATTATTATTAACACGCTCTGATGCTAAGGAGTTCTACTCCCACTCCCCATCTGAAAAGAAATCTGTTCCAAATGCAAAACACAGACAGAGGAGAGGAGTTTCAGTTTCAATTTTAGTTTCATAGCTGCAACCAGCTTTAGTACAGAACAGTTGAGCTAAGCCACGCCCAGGCTCCTTGCTGTCTCCTTGCTCACACAGCTAATACTGTTTCAGTTTCCAAAAAGCCCTCAACTCTCTCACACACTGTCAGGATGCTAGCCAGATGAATACCGATGGATGCTGGTAGGCAGAGGCAGAATTACCCGCCCCCGCTTATTTTCCTCCCCCAAAACTAAGCCCGACCACAAAGTTTTGTAGTGAAGCATGGGTATCGAGCTAGTACATTAATTAAAAGGAAGGTGAGATTCTCTCTGAAGAAAGTTATGGAACATCAGGGCATCTCCAGTTCCAAACTAAGAGTTCTTGTGGCCCTGGGATGCATTCAGGGACCTCAAGTGATGATTTTAGTTAAGTGAGCAGGTTTCAATGAGAAGGAAGGGAGGATCTTCAGATATTCTGGTCTCAAAAATGCTTAGCATAACGTTGAAAGCTATCCACAGCGGATAACTACTGCAGAATGTCATTCTTTTCATACGAGATTCACATGCTCCTTGTTATAAACCCGGTTACTCTCTACCCAACATAAATTAACAAGTACCCTCTCTCTCTTCACAGAATCAGAGAAGCCAAGGATAGCTTGGTGGCATTATTGTTCTAATAGCAGCCCGGACAATAACCTGTCGCTACTACCTCCCCAAATGTCTGTCGTTCATGATAGCACAGACAATATTCTATAGACATTTATTCCTTGAAATGTCTTTGTCATTTATAGCGTAAATAGATCAAAGCGAAGTAGAAATAATGGTCAAAAATATTCTGCTTTGCTGACTTCTAGTGCAATGACAGCCGAGACAAAATCTTTACAATGTTCACTTTAAGAGATCCAAGAATATTTACATGTTGAGCCATCACATAAAATTTTCATTTGGGTTGTTAGACTGCTAAACCGCTGGTGTCCGTCTTCAATTATGGTTCCTCTGCCTGCCACATGTATGCTATTTCCTCTTTCTCACAGTCACACGATCTACAAGTGGTTTTTTCCCCTCTTCTTCCTCAAAAGTTGTTTCTCCCCCTCTTGTATGTCTTTTTTTTTGTGATCGCTGTTCATCTCGGCTTCAATTCCCTTGAGCTTTTCCATCTTCTAACCTTCGTACAACATTTCTGATGGCCATGTGGGAACAGAAGAACCATTGCATAAGGCCTGTTTTCTAGGGAATAACGCTTTATTTCCAAGAGCTTTTAGCAGTGAGTGCAGAGTTGCTTGTTCCTTTGTGAACCTCTGATGCTGGGGTGGCTCAGGCACCAATGGAGGAGAAAAAGGATCAGGAGAAAGGTAGCTTCCCGTATCTTGTTTTCTAATCTGCTCCACTCTTGTTAACTTTGTATTTCTGTAAATATTCTGTTGTTTTCTCTGGACTTTTAAGTAATGGAGGTTTGGCTAAAATGGATATGATGGGAGTATTGCCTGCATAATTCGATTGGTATAACTTGTTGGTGGAGGAATATTTGCTGGAGAACAAGACTCGTGGTTCTTAGTTTGTCCTTCCAAGGGTTCTGGTCTGGTCATTCTTTTCGCTTGGAAGACTAAACTGTATTTGACTCATAAGGGCACATTCAGGCAGACAGCATTAAGGCACATTATGGCACATAAGGGCACATTATGCAGACACAGACTTCAGAGGATAGTTAGAACTGCAGAAAAAACAATTGCTACCAACCTGCCTTCCATGGAGGACCTGTCCTGGACATAAATTGTTTCAACTTCTACCCACAAAACGACGCTATAGAGCCCTGCACACCAGGAAACTAGACACAAGGACAGTTTTCCCCCCCGAACACCATCACTCTGCTAAACAAATAATTCCCTAAACACTGTCCAACTATTTACTAAGACTGTATTACTATTCTTCTTCTCATCCTTCCTATTTCCTATCTCTTCCAACTTATGACTATAACCGTGTTGCTTGTATCTTTACAATTTATATTGTTTTATTTGTTCCCTAGTATGATTTGATTGCTTATTAGTAACCTATGACTATTCACTAAGTGTTGTATCTTATGATTCTTGATGAATGTATTTTATTTTTTATGATGTACACTGAGAGCTTATGAACCAAAGACAAATTCCTTGTGTGTCCAATCATACTTGGCCAATAAAGAATTCTATTCTATTCTATTCTATTCTATTCTATTCTATTCTATTCTATTCTATTCTATTCTATTCTATTCCACTTATACTGACACTGACACTGACACTGACACTGACACTCTACTCTACTCTACTCTACTCTACTCTACTCTACTCTACTCTACTCTACTCTACTCTACTCTACTTTATTCTGCCTTGGTACTGAGAGCAGGAAGTGCTATTATCCTAACAGGTTAGTAAGATACAATAATTGCTGGGTTTTATGCCAGCAGCAAAACAGCCACCAATCACTCCCTCAACATGGATGACTTTGGCTGAGGAAGGAGGCAAATCTTGATAGACAAAGTGATGGGTTTAGCAATCGCAATAGCACTTAGACTTATATACTTCTCCATAGTGTCTTAGCACTCTCTGAGTTCTTTACAAATTTTGGCATATTGCCCCCAACAATCTGGGCCCTCATTTTGCCAATCTCAGAAGGCTGGCAAGCTGAGTCAACCTTGAGCTGGTCAGGATCAAACTGGCTATGGGCAGAGTTGGCCTGCAATACTGCATTTTAACCACTGCGCCACCACGGCTCCTTTAGCCATCTAAGTCGGGTGAGTTAAGTGTTGGCCTAGTGATCCTGGTGTGACCTGCCTGTCAGATTTGTGAAGAGGAAAAAAAAAAGATACCTTGATTGCAGCATTGTCCTGCAATGTAGCCCGTAGATTAGAAGTTCACAAGCAGTTTTATGCTGGAGTTATAAATTTGTCAATGTGAGTGTCAGGGTTCCGGCAATTGCCCTCATTAAATCATGAGCCTCGAGCCAAGCTTCAAAAGAATCCAAAAGATTTATTAAGGGCAACATGTCGGCATTAACCTACATGAAGCCAACTCTGGCATACGTAATTTACAGTCACCTGTGACCCTGTTTTCCCCCTCCCCCCTGGGTGTTTCATAAATCATATCCTCCAATGAAGCATGTTCACAGGCTGAGTGTCCTCAATCATGTTCTCCAATGAAAGATTTTTGTGGCAGAAGATCTGGTAGCCTAGCTATAATCTTTGTAAGATAAGCGTGGAATGTACTTCCAGTTTTAAATTGCCATACTACTCCTTCAGATTCCCACCCCCCCTTGTTTATGGCAACTCGAAAACAGGCATAGGAATGTTTTACGAGTTGTCAGTGAATGGCAGACATCATACTTGATTGAGATCATACTTGATTGGAGAGGTTGCAAATCAAGAGTCAGGAGATGTATGTACTTTGCTTTTCAAGTCAAAGCATGTTGACAAAGAGAATGAAGAAGCAGAGAAGCCCAGGGGTACCCAGAGTCCAATTCAGAAGCAGTGCCAGAGGTTCAATGTGCAAAGACCAAAAATGGGAATGTTGTTTTCGAAAAGGGTTAAGAAAGAGTCCGGAGGTTGCTCTTACATAGTCCCAGTCGTTGGCAGAGGTTGGCCACCAATTTTTCTTGAGGAGACAAGCTGACCACCCTGTATTCTGCATGTCTTAGTTGCTGGTGAGTTCTTGGATCAAGATCAGCCGTCTCTTTCTCTGGCTCAGCTCCAGATTTCTGAGATTCATTGGGAACTGGCTCTGCTTAGAGAGCACAGAGTAACAAGAGCTGGAAGGGACCTTGGAGGTCTTCTAGACCAACCCCCGCTCAAGCAGGAGACCCTTTGTCAGTGGTGGCTAACCTTTTTGAGCTCCTGTGCCAAAAATTGTGCGCGCATCAGCACCCAGAAGGCAAGGCATGGGCTCCCATGCCCCCTGCCCATGTGTGTGTAATCCCCACCCACGCCGCCCCCTTACCTGCACTGTGCCTCACAGCTGATTTTCAGCCAGCTTGAGGCCTTTTTCGGCCTCCCAAAGGCTTGAGGAAAGCTTCTGCAGGCCTCTGCAGGCTTTGCAGGCCGAAAACTAGCCCCGTTTTGTCACTTCCGGTATTTGGGTCAGAACAGTATGTATATGTATGTGTATGTGTATGTATGTATGTGTATGTATGTATGTGTGTGTGTGTGTGTATGTTTATTTGATGGTGTAAGTGAGGGGTGTCAAACTCAATTTCATTGAGGGCCACATCAGGGTTGTATTTAACCTGGGGTGGCTGAGGTGTTTATGGCCAGGGTGGGTGTGACCAGCTCGACATCACTCGTGTTGGAGGTGCCTGTGGTGTCCCAAGTGCTCTGCCAATGAAAACAGGTTCCCGAGCTCCATTTTTTGGCTGTGACAGCCTACTGCAACGCTCTGCCAGTGAAAATGGAGCTTGGGAGGGCTGCCCATGGTTCCTGAACTCTGTTTTTGCTGGCAGAGGCACTACAGGTCAGTCCTTCACTGTTTCCAGGGCAATCCCAGGAGCCAGATCTAAGTACGCTGCTGGCCGGATCCGCCCCCCCACCCCCCGGCCTTCAGTTTGACACCCCTGGTGTAAGTCTTTCTGATACCTTGTTCGATGTCCAAACAATGGCATTTCTTAAGATTTCATTTATGTTAATAAGTTCATGGTAAAATTATTCATTGGATCCCAACGAATTGGATTATGTCTCAGGGATCATAACTGCTCTGTCGATTCCAACTTAATCCATTAAATTGTGGCGTATCTTTCCTATATATAGCTAATCTAAGTATGGCTTTAATTTTGTTTGCTGCTCAGAGTCACCTTTGTGAAATGGGTGGCCATTATAAATCATATCGGAAAATTATCAGTCTGGTTTTGGAAATACCCAGTGACCACTCTCACGCAAAAGGGAAACGATTAGTCTGATTCTCCTTTTTAGTGAAATAGCTACCCATTGTCACACAGAGCAGCTTTGTGTCTGCTTATCTAAGCTACTAAGTTAATTAGAAATCTTTTTATTTATTTATTTATAATTTTTTCCCCTTCCATAAGATAAGAGCAATAACACTTAAACTTATACACCACTTCATAGTGCTTTCCATCCCTCTCTTAAGTGGTTTACAGAGTCAGCCTATTGCCCACAGCAATCTGGGTCTTCATTTTACCCACCTTGGAAGGAGGGAAGACTGAGTCAACTTTGAGCAGGTCAGGATCGAACTCCTGGCAGTGAGCAGTGAGATAGCCTGCAATACTGCCTTCTAACCACTGCAACACCATGGCTCTTAAACTAGCATTCTCTTTAATTTACAAATCCTAATTTGCACAAGAGCATCAAATTGAGATCCTGACTCCAGGCATCCCAGTCAGCTTTTGAGTTTGGGTGACTATATAGGTCAGTGATGGTGAACCTTTTTGTTGGGGTGTGCCAAAAGCGCTTGCACCTACAATGTGATATGCCCCGCCCCCCCTGCGCATGCATGCGCAACACCCCACCCCGCCCCCTTACATGCACTATGCATGCACGCGCCTGCCAGCTGATTTTCGGCTCGTTTGAGGCAGTTTTCACCCTCCCTGAGACTTGAGACTTTGGCCTCCTGCAGCCTCAGGAGGCCAAAAAAAACGGCCCTTCCAGAAATACTGGAAGGGCCCATTTTCAGCCTCTGGAGCCCGGGAGAGACCGTTTTTGCCCTCCTGGAGGCAGCAGAGCTGCAGAGACTTCCTTCAAGCCTCCGGGAGGGCGAAAAACGGCCTGAAGCGGGCCGAAAATCAGTAGGGAGGCACACGCATGCGCAGCGCAGGTACGTTTGGCTGGGGCTTGCTTGCCCGCACAAATGGCTCTGCGTGCTACAGGTTCGCCCTCACGGTTATAGGTCCTTACTTAACTCAGAGGCAAAATGATCAGATTATACATAAATGCATGTAACTTTGAGAGGTACAAATGTGGGAAAACAAATGGAGGAGGCCAAGTGACAAATGGTTTGGAAATCAGGTGGGTTTCTATCACTTGTATCTCTCATATGGAAGGTGGTTGAAAATCACCTGATTTCCAAAGCACTTGTCACTTGGCCTCAAATGACAAATGGTTGTGATTTTCTACCGCCTTCCATAGGAGAGATACAGAGGAAAACACAGTATTACATTGTTGGCATTTAATTTCAGCTGGCTTAGACTAACAGAACTAGTCCATAGTCATTCATCAAAATATGGATGAATAATTTAGAAGAATAAATAAAGAAAAAGTATAAAAGTAATCCAGAATTGGGATTATTACATATTTTTGAGGAAGATAACTATAGAGTTTATTGTAGCTTTCCTGGCTGCAGGTTTGAGATTTGCTCCAAACTGATTCATTTCTGGATAA